CCTATAGCCATGAACTATTTTATCCAAGAAATTAGAGTCCATGAGCAGGTGGTATGATGGTTGGGGGCACTGGATTCCACATGGTCGTCTGTGTGGTTCCTAGTGGCTTGAGAAACACGTCTGGCACATGTGCTTGTGTGCCCAAAGTCCCAAGGAGAGAAGGAAGGAGAGGGCTTTGGAGTGTAGTCACTCTCCATGGGGTGATTTCTCACTTTCTGTCTCTCTCTCTCTGGCACTTACTCTACAGAAAATACATACATACATACATACATAAAGTCCATGAGCCTGTCTCTCTTGCTTTTTTTTTCCTCCCAAAGCACACATATTTTAATCAGTGAGAGAACCCCCCGCAATGGATATGGTCATGCCACAATCCTTTTTCCTCCGTTTCTCCATCTAAGCAGGATTTGGGGCACATGTACACCTGGAATGTTTATTATGTTGCCAGGGCAGGGATTTGAACAGCTATCTGTCATGTGAGATCCACCTCCCAATACATAGCACTAACCGCCGTGCTACAGACTGGTCCTCTTTTTGTTTAAGTCAGAATCTCACAGTCTAGCTGGTGTTGTGGCAGCTAAGGTGGCTGGATCCCACAACGCTGATCACACAGCTCAAATTCTGGACCTATTGCCTCGGAAAACACAACTGATGCATGTGCGTGTGTGCCCAAAATCCTGAGAGGAGAATGGAGGAGAAGGGATTGCGACCTGGCTGTCACCCCCGCGGGGGTGATTTCTCACTCCCCCCTCCCATTTCTCTCTCTCTCTCTCTCCCTCTCCCTCTCTCTCTCGTGATCACACATGCCCTGTAGCAAAACTTAAAATAATAATAATAATAAAGACAATCTCTCTCTGTTGTGTCGTGATCCTCCTACTTAGGCTCCTGAGCAGCTCTGACCACACCACCAATGGCCAGCTTGTGTAGCGTGCGCTGAAACAGGAACCTGGGCCTCCTGCGTGGCCTCAGCCTGCCAGGCAGCAGCCTCTCCCTCCATATGCACCACAGCATCAGTATTTGTCTTAATGTTTATGTTGTTCCGGATTTGGTCAGGAGGACCTCCTCCGAGCTAGCTCTTGGGTTGTTTTGCCATTTCACTTACATGTTTGTGCCATTATCTGGCGCAGCCAGCTTTTCTTGTCCTTTCTGTGCCCCAGATCTGGGATTGCCATTTCCCCAAGGAGCTACAATTCTCTGTAGCAGGAAACAGCATCTAGAAACGAAGACATAGAAAGAAGCATGCTCCTCTGCTACCAGGTGTTGTCCCTTCTACACCTTTTCAGTAGACAGAGCTAGGAGTCATGAGTAGTTTTCTTTTTTTTTTTTTAAATCTTGCCTGAGGGTGCATGTGCTGGCTAGAAAGAAAGCACTCCCCATGGGGAATGGATATACTGCAATCCATTCTTCTTCATTTTTCCTTCCTCTAGGGATTTTGGGCATACATTGCATATGTACCTGGCATGTTTCTCAAGCCACTGGGTTTAACTCAGACTGTGGTCAGTCATGTGGGACCCAGCTGCCTTAACCACAAAGCCATGGAGCTGGCCCTTGTGTTTTAAAATCAGGAATTCAGGCCCTGTTTCTGTGGCGTAGTTGGTAGTATATTTGATTGTGGAGCTGGAAGCCACATGGTGACTGTGGGCAGAGTTCCCAGCATGATCAGTCTGAAAACACACTGGCCAAGTGTGTACCTGCCCAGGAGCCAGGCAGGCGGTGGACTGGAGGAAAGGGATTGCAACACGATGGAGTCCTGTGGGGTTCCTATCTCTTTTGTGTGTGCTTTCTCATGAATTAAATAAGAAAATAAATTGAGTTAATCATAATATCTGGTTGTACCTTCACATCACAGGTATGCCTGCCTCTCTTCCCACAGCGTGAAGACATGGGGACTTTTGAACTTCTCTCTGCTGTTCTTGTCAAAGTAGCTGCTGTCAGCCTACCTCTCAGCCTACCTATCTCAGTATCTTTGAGATATTGGAGTCTGTGCAGATCATCAATCTTTCCCTTCCCAGGACTGGACAGAACTAGTTCTCAGTACTTATAGTAGTTTTAAATAAACTTCAACATAAAACTACTATTACAGCATACCACTAAAGATTGTAAAAAGAGTATTACTTAAGAGTAATTGGTCAACTGGTAGCATGGTGATCAAGATAGCTGGATCCCACATGGCCGAGTGCAGTTTGAGTCCCCAACTTGGCAGTTTGAAAAAGATGCTGGGTGGTGCTGTATGTCTGTGCGCCCAAGATCCTGAAGGAGGTAGAAATGAAAGAGAAGGGATTTGGACATGGCCATTCCCCATGGGGAGTGCTCTCTCTCTCTCTCATTAGCACATATACCCTTTGGCAAATTTTTAAAAATAATAATAATTGCTATAGAATAATACCCAAAGTATACAAATATATTTTCATTTCAACTGAAGTGGAATTTTATTTTAAAAATAGAATGTAGGGGCCAGCAGGTAGTGTGGTGATTAGTGTACTGGACTTCGACATGGCTGACTGTGGTTTGAGTCCCACACTGGTGGCTTGAAAATCACTCCAGGCACTTGTGCATGCGTATCCAAAATCCCAAAAGAGAAGGGATTGTGGCATGGCCACCTCACCCCGCCAGAGGCAGGTGATGACTCACTTTACTTCTCTCTGTCTCCCTCTGGTGAGCACACATGCCCTATGACAAAAAAAAAAAAAAAAAACCTTGAAAAATGAATTCTCTGTTTCTGTCTGTCTGGCGAGTGCACGCGCCCTATAGCAAAAACCTCTCCAAAAAAAAAAAAAAAAAAAAAAAAAAAAAAAAAAACAAACTTGAAAAATGAATGTAGAACTAGACTGTTGAGTAGAAGGACCCCAGCTATTTCAAAGTAAGTACCAATTTGTGTATTTAGTTCCCTTCAGTAAACATAGTGAAATTGTAACTTAGGACTAAAGCGCCTTTCTGCTATGTTGTAGTGTGTTTGAAGGGCTAGTAGAGAGTGAAAATTCCTTAGTTCTTGGTAGCATATTGGCAGTTCCTTATTTACAGCAGTTCTTCACTTCTGCTCACATCCGAGGTGGTCGGTCAGCTGTTGGGAGGTCGGTCTCGCCTGTAGCAGCAGTGCTGTTGAGTCTGGGTGGAGTCTCTGGGTATACTGCTACCTAGGGTGAGGAGCCTGGCCTGCATGGGAAGAGGGCGACTGGAGGAAAGGGATTGCAACACGATGGAGTCCTGTGGGGTTCCTATCTCTTTTGTGTGTGCTTTCTCATGAATTAAATAAGAAAATAAATTGAGTTAATCATAATATCTGGTTGTACCTTCACATCACAGGTATGCCTGCCTCTCTTCCCACAGCGTGAAGACATGGGGACTTTTGAACTTCTCTCTGCTGTTCTTGTCAAAGTAGCTGCTGTCAGCCTACCTCTCAGCCTACCTATCTCAGTATCTTTGAGATATTGGAGTCTGTGCAGATCATCAATCTTTCCCTTCCCAGGACTGGACAGAACTAGTTCTCAGTACTTATAGTAGTTTTAAATAAACTTCAACATAAAACTACTATTACAGCATACCACTAAAGATTGTAAAAAGAGTATTACTTAAGAGTAATTGGTCAACTGGTAGCATGGTGATCAAGATAGCTGGATCCCACATGGCCGACTGCAGTTTGAGTCCCCAACTTGGCAGTTTGAAAAAGATGCTGGGTGGTGCTGTATGTCTGTGCGCCCAAGATCCTGAAGGAGGTAGAAATGAAAGAGAAGGGATTTGGACATGGCCATTCCCCATGGGGAGTGCTCTCTCTCTCTCTCATTAGCACATATACCCTTTGGCAAATTTTTAAAAATAATAATAATTGCTATAGAATAATACCCAAAGTATACAAATATATTTTCATTTCAACTGAAGTGGAATTTTATTTTAAAAATAGAATGTAGGGGCCAGCAGGTAGTGTGGTGATTAGTGTACTGGACTTCGACATGGCTGACTGTGGTTTGAGTCCCACACTGGTGGCTTGAAAATCACTCCAGGCACTTGTGCATGCGTATCCAAAATCCCAAAAGAGAAGGGATTGTGGCATGGCCACCTCACCCCGCCAGAGGCAGGTGATGACTCACTTTACTTCTCTCTGTCTCCCTCTGGTGAGCACACATGCCCTATGACAAAAAAAAAAAAAAAAAAAACAAACTTGAAAAATGAATGTAGAACTAGACTGTTGAGTAGAAGGACCCCAGCTATTTCAAAGTAAGTACCAATTTGTGTATTTAGTTCCCTTCAGTAAACATAGTGAAATTGTAACTTAGGACTAAAGCGCCTTTCTGCTATGTTGTAGTGTGTTTGAAGGGCTAGTAGAGAGTGAAAATTCCTTAGTTCTTGGTAGCATATTGGCAGTTCCTTATTTACAGCAGTTCTTCACTTCTGCTCACATCCGAGGTGGTCGGTCAGCTGTTGGGAGGTCGGTCTCGCCTGTAGCAGCAGTGCTGTTGAGTCTGGGTGGAGTCTCTGGGTATACTGCTACCTAGGGTGAGGAGCCTGGCCTGCATGGGAAGAGGGCTAGCTGGGGGCCAAGACCTTTCCTTATGTCACAAGAGACCTGGAGTGATTTGGAAACATGGTGTCCTCTCTGCATGTTGCTGGCATCACCATGATCATGGGTGGAGGCGCTTGCTCCTGTGAGTACCTGCTGCTGAGTGCTGGTCTCCTTGGGTCAGTGGTTAGCAGACACTAGCCATACAGTTCTCCTTTTCTGCAGGAGAGACAAGTGACACACAGTCTCCAAGTTTGGATCTTGTCTGTCCCCGAAACTCCTTGCAGATAGGAGTTGTGTGCTCATGGCAAGATTCAGGGAATACTTGTTCCATATGTCTTAAAAGAGGCTCATTACCAGGAGGGTCCTGAGGAAGATGTGTTTCTCTTGGCAGTTCCAGATTGGAGGTTCTCAGTGCCACATCCCTCGTTGGTGCCCTCTCTGCCATTGTGAGCTGATACTTGCATGATGTGATTCTCAGTGATTTGTTGGTCTTTCCTCACAGCCTGTTCCCAGAAGACCAACACCACCTGTGAGGAATGCCTGAAGAATGTCTCTGTAAGTAGCTAGTGGGGTCTGACTCATTTTCTCTTTGAAGGGTTCTGCTAAGTGGGATTTGTAGCTTTTGTGACAGTTACTAAGTATTATTTAATCCTGTCTCAGGCATGGTAAACTTGAAAACTAGTGAGAGCTGCAGATACCACCAGGGTGTAGTCAGTAGACAAGATTTAAGTCCCATGGCAAGTGGGGTCAGGGAGTAGAGAGCATGTCAGCTGGTTGGACAGCATGGGGGGCAGGGGGACAGGTGACTGCCATTGAGAGGCAGCATTGCCTGACTTTTTGCTTGGGCTCATGTCACTTCTGAGCTGCTACTATTGACTCGTGCTGTGGCCATACCTGCTGGGACTAAGTCTGCAATTCCATCTTTCAGATGGGCCCCCTAGAACCAGCTATGAGTGTTCTCAGAGTGGGTTGGGGGTCTGAGTCCACACTCAAGTGCCCAGAGCCCACCTTGTCCCCTCTGTGGTTGGTGCCATGGGTCAGCTCTCTTAATAGGGCCTCTCTCAGGAGAAATTGATGTCTGTAAACTCAGGTCCTGCCTTAAAATGTGCTTGTGACCTCCTCATGGTCTAGAGTTGTGGTAGGTACTCCTCAGCTCTTTACACAGGGAGAGGGAGGGGAGAAGCAGGGCTGCTGGTCTAGTGAGAGGCTTGGGGAGGCCACTGGTCCAGTGATCAGACTATTCGTAGCTCACTCAGGTGGCCTTGGAGAGGGTGGCTGTTTTAGAGCCAAATTCCCTAATCCTCCACAATAAAAGGTGACCTGAGTGTTGGGCTGTCCACCTGGCAAGAGGAAGAACTAGTGATAGGACACATAGCACCACATGAACCTACAGAAGAGCCACTTTGTGAAGATCCTGTGTCTGCCTGGTGGGGGTCTGTTCCCATGTTGGGCCCACCTGGATACAGCCTTGCTACCTACCAAGCTCTTGACTCTATAGCACCCAGTTGTGGGGATGCTGCCCTGTGTGATCACAACCCTGGGGAACCCTAGTGAGGCCATCAAGGGTGGGCATAGTGTACTGCAGGTCTTTTCCTGAGATTGCAGGGGAGGCTGCCTCTCCCCCTTCCCCTTTCATTCAGGTTGTCAGTTATGGACCTGAATGGGTTCCTGCATTTGCTGGATCAGAAAACACTGTCACTATAGTTTCAGATCTTGACCCAGGTGGTATCATACTTGCTTGGGTGAGTCATATCCTCATGGGCAGCGTTTCCTTGGTGGGATTTCTTTTCCGTCTTTGGTTCTATTAGACACTGTCATTTCTGCTGTAAGTGGCTCCTTGCTGCCCTGAGCTTTGCAGTCTAGAGAGCAGTTCTGCTGCACTGCTTGGGCAGTCCCCATCACAGACCTGGGTGTGATGAGGACAACAGCCGCCCAGCTGAGGAGGCCACAGGCCTTTCCCAGGTCACAGCAGATAGAGCTGGTCCAGAGGAACTCCAGGCCTAAGCTTCATCTGAAGGTCAGCACGTATGAGAAGGGCGAGGTACAGAGGGGTGTGTGTGACAAGTGGTTGGCTCCAGCCCACACAGATATGTCCTCAAACACACACAGACTTCTGAGAGGCCTCAAGTGGGTTAGAAGAGCAGTCTGGTGTCCTGCATGCTGCCTTAGTGCTGCTTACTTGTTCACCGTGTACATGTTATATCGTTAGAACAGTGGATAGGTGCAAAACCCACAGCACCCACAAAAAAGAGCATTGTGTCCTGCTGAGCTTCTGTAGCTCTGGAAAAGCTGTCATATAAAAAAGGAGATTAGGAGGTCAGCAGGTGGCATAGTGATTAAGGTGCAGGACTTCCACATGGCCGACCACAGTTAGAGTCCCAGAACCCAACAGCTTGAAACTCACACTGGGCACATGTGTGTGTGTGCCCAAAATCCCAAGAGGAGAATGGAGAAGAGATTGCAGCATGGCCATCCTCCTAGGGGATGATTTATGGCACCTGGATACAGCCTTGCTACCTACCAAGCTCTTGACTCTATAGCACCCAGTTGTGGGGATGCTGCCCTGTGTGATCACAACCCTGGGGAACCCTAGTGAGGCCATCAAGGGTGGGCATAGTGTACTGCAGGTCTTTTCCTGAGATTGCAGGGGAGGCTGCCTCTCCCCCTTCCCCTTTCATTCAGGTTGTCAGTTATGGACCTGAATGGGTTCCTGCATTTGCTGGATCAGAAAACACTGTCACTATAGTTTCAGATCTTGACCCAGGTGGTATCATACTTGCTTGGGTGAGTCATATCCTCATGGGCAGCGTTTCCTTGGTGGGATTTCTTTTCCGTCTTTGGTTCTATTAGACACTGTCATTTCTGCTGTAAGTGGCTCCTTGCTGCCCTGAGCTTTGCAGTCTAGAGAGCAGTTCTGCTGCACTGCTTGGGCAGTCCCCATCACAGACCTGGGTGTGATGAGGACAACAGCCGCCCAGCTGAGGAGGCCACAGGCCTTTCCCAGGTCACAGCAGATAGAGCTGGTCCAGAGGAACTCCAGGCCTAAGCTTCATCTGAAGGTCAGCACGTATGAGAAGGGCGAGGTACAGAGGGGTGTGTGTGACAAGTGGTTGGCTCCAGCCCACACAGATATGTCCTCAAACACACACAGACTTCTGAGAGGCCTCAAGTGGGTTAGAAGAGCAGTCTGGTGTCCTGCATGCTGCCTTAGTGCTGCTTACTTGTTCACCGTGTACATGTTATATCGTTAGAACAGTGGATAGGTGCAAAACCCACAGCACCCACAAAAAAGAGCATTGTGTCCTGCTGAGCTTCTGTAGCTCTGGAAAAGCTGTCATATAAAAAAGGAGATTAGGAGGTCAGCAGGTGGCATAGTGATTAAGGTGCAGGACTTCCACATGGCCGACCACAGTTAGAGTCCCAGAACCCAACAGCTTGAAACTCACACTGGGCACATGTGTGTGTGTGCCCAAAATCCCAAGAGGAGAATGGAGAAGAGATTGCAGCATGGCCATCCTCCTAGGGGATGATTTATGGCTTTCTGTCTCTCTTTCTGTCTCTCTCTCTCAGATAAGTGCAAGTGCCCTATAGCAAAAATCTCTCTTAAAAAAAAAAAAAAAAAGAAAAAAGAAATTAGACATTTACAACTTGAGTTGTTTGAAAATGGAGGATTAGCCACGAATTGTTAATCCAGGACAAAAAAAAAAAAAAATCACGGTTCTTTAGCCACTACCTCCACCTTCTCCAACTTCTTCTGTCCACGATGCCCACCAGGTCAGCCAGGCCATGCACTTTATTGCTTATAGGGCCCGGCTAGCAGAGTGCTCACAGGCCTCGTGCCCTGCTGCAGTACGTGTAGAGGGCCCAGCTCTGATGCACATTGGTGTGACAGTGCTGTGTCTGTGACCTCACCTTTGAGGGGCACAGACGAGGGTATCTGAGTTTCTTGTCAGTTCTCAAGTTCCAGGCAGATGCTTCTGACTCGGGCCTTAGGTGCATCACCTTTCAAGTGGTGATGACTTGGTGCAGTTGTGAAGGTCTACAGTAGGATGTGAGATGCTTTTCTACAAATAATACTTCCATGGTCACCACTCTACTCCACAACACGTAATGAGTGCCTGCCATGGGCTAATGAAGTGCATAGATGCCTGCCCTCGTGCATGCTAGTAGGCATGGTGCGTGAGTAGGAGTAGTTGCGAAAGCCAGCAGTACAGGAGGTGCTAGTATGGATGGATGGTAGATGGCACTGGTAAGCAGGCTGGTCAGGGAAACCCTCATGGCAGAGGTGAGGGAAACATCCAGATGTCTGGGCAGAGTCTCCCAGGCAGAATAAGCAGGCTGAGCAAAGTCTTTGAGTGAAGAGTTGGCAGCTCTTAGGACCAACGCAGAGGCCTACAGGATATGGCAGGGGTCCAAGTCACACAGATGAAATGCTATAGAGTGGGCAGGTTTGCTTGATGCTATGTTAGGCACAGACCAAAGGTCAGTGAGGGGAAAGACTGGCTCCAAGGGGCAGGTGCGGTGATGGTTGGCATGGTGATGCTTTGGTTTTTTTCACATTTTCTTTCTGTTCTCTTTGTAATGTTGGTTTCTTTCAGTGTCTTTGGTGCAACACAAATAAGGCATGTCTGGACTACCCGGTTAGAAAAATCCTGCCACCTGCTTCTCTTTGTCAGTTGAGTTCTGCACGCTGGGGTGTTTGCTGGGGTAAGTCATTTTCATTTGCTTCTAGCGAAACTGGTGCTTTTTAAATGATCTAGAATGTGCTCAATTAACATAAATTGCTAGAAAGCTTGTTACTAGCAGCTCTGACACACTTCGATGAGACATGGGGAGGCCTGTGTTAGCCTGGTACTGGGGAAAACAACAGGAATTCCATGGAGAGTCTGGACAAGCATTTTCAGGGTCATTAGCCTCAGCCCTGAACTTTGTCTCTCCGTGTCCTTGGAAGGTGTCGGGGAAAGGACAAGTTTGGAGCTTCTTTTTTCTAGCTTCTCAGCATGTCTCATACTCGTGGTGTTCATGTGCCATCTTAAAAACCACTTGTGGGGACCAGCAGTTAGTGTAATGGCTATGTCATTGGACTCCCATGTAATTGACCGTGGTTCAAGTCCCGGACCCGGTGGCTTAAAACTCACGCCAGGCGCGTGTGCATGCATGCCCAAGATCCCAAGAGGAGAAGGGATTGTGGCATGGCCATCCCCCCCTGGGGGGGTGATTTCTTGCTTCTGTCTCTCTGTCTCTCTCTCTCTGGTGAGCTCACGCGCCCTGTAGCTAAAAAAAAAAAAAAAAAAAAAAAAAAAAACTCCAAAAAAAAAAAAAAAAAA